AATATCTCTGATATATTTGGAAAGACTTATATGAACTGATGCTGAGTGAAGTGAGCAGAACCAGGAGAACAATGTACACAGTAACAGCCACATTATGCAATGACTAACTTTGATAGACTTATGCAATTCAAGGATCTAAGACAACCTCAAAAGACTCATGATGGAAAATGCTGTCCACATCCAGAGAAAGAGCTATGAAGTCTGAATGCAGATCGAAGCATACTATTTCCTTGCTTTTTTTTTATTGTTTTGTTTCTTCTTTCTTGTGGTTCTTCCCATTGATTCTAATTCTTCTTTACCACATAACTAATGTGAAAATCTGTTTAATAGGAATGTATGTGTAGAGCCTATATCAGATTGCATGCTGTCCTGGAAAGGGGAGAGAGAAGGGAGGGGGAGAAAATTTAAAATTCAAAAGCTTATGGGGGCAGCTAGGTGGCACGTGGTAGAGTGCCAGCCCTGAAGTTAGGAAGACCTGAGTTCAAATCTGGCCTCAGACACATAACACTTACTAGGTGTGTGACCCTGGGCAAGTCACTTAACCCCAATTGCCTCACGAAAAAGAAAAAAAAAAAGCTTATGGAAGTGAATGTTGAAAACTAAGAATAAATAAATTAATTTTTAAAAGACATTAAGAAAAAAAGAGAAAAAGAATGAATGGGCCTAAAAAAATCAGAAGCTTTGGTCTCTAGTCCTGGTTCATTTTTCAAAGTTAAAAGACCTTAAGGAAGGTCCTTTAATTTTCCCAGGCCTCAGTTTCATCACCTATAAAATAAGGGAGTTGAATGTTCTCCAAGTATTGTGGTAGTATATAGTTGTTGTCTTTTTGCTTTTACAGCATATTATTGGTCCTACTTGTGGATGGTGTGGATCAAGAGTTGCCCTTAGAGTCAAGAAGACCTAATTGGAGTCTTGCCTCTGACACATACTGGATGCATGTCTGTGGGCAAGTCACTTAACCTCTCAATACCCCTGACAGGTCTCCAGGATAATAAGATGCAGCACAGTTACTGATCTCTTCTAGCTAAAAGCATTTCCTCTAAAGGAGGAATTAGGAAATCAGGAAATCATGGGTCTAGACAACAATATCTCTGATATATTTGGAATGCAATCTATAATTATTTCATTCATTCTATGAAAAAAAAACTGATTTCCATTATAAGGCTGAGGGTGAAAAAATAGGCTTAGTCCTTACATTATAGTCATACCATATATGAACATGCACACACACACTCATGCTAAGAATTCAAGCATACTACAGTAGTAGATGGGTTTAGTTGATTTATTCTTCAGTTATTCAATGGATCTGTGATCTCACCAATGGGAAATCCCAACCAAATCACACTTCAATCACACATTCATCAATCAATAAGTTGATTGATGATTTATCTACAATCAACCAACTATCATTTATTAAGTGCTATGCACTGGGAATATAAATACAAAGGTGAGATAGTTTCTACCCTCAAGGAGCTTACATTCTAATGGGGGATACATCTCATATAGGGAAGTTGTGACTAGGGTAGGCAGCTTTGGTTTACGAAAGCAAAGGAACTGGGTGGGTAAGGGAATTGGGCAATAGACGGTCACATTCTTTCCAATGTAAACAATAATATTATTTGATTATTGTTCAAATAATAAGGGCAAGAGGTGAAATGGAGTAAGGTGTGGGCATAATGTGAGAGTTTGTGTGTGGGCAATAAGGTAAGATATCAGTAGTAGGTTGGCCCTAGTGTCTTTCTTGGTAGATGGATAGATGAAGTGTGAGATGTGAGATGGAGCCAGCTACACACAGTGTTTTCACTCACTCACTCACCATTCAAGACTGCTCAGTCCCAGAGCAAAGTCCCAAACCTAGATGGATTAATTCCACTAATCCTATATGGAGGTTCACTAGTCTTGGCGGGTAATATAGATACAGCAGCAAGGAAGACGGCAAGATGCCCATGCTACATAAACCTTGATGTTCTGGTGAAAGGCTAGATGAAAGGCTCATCCCATACAATTTATGACCTCCTATAAATCTTTTGTAAAGGATTTGTCCACTGAGTGGAAATTATGCACAGTACTATACGGGGATAGCACTTGAATATTACATTCTTATGCATGCCTGCAACTGAGCACAAATGCATATTGGGACAGCAAGCAAAAACAATAAAAAGTAAAAAAGAATACAACTGGGGGAAAAGCTCTTAGTATAATGTATATATCTTTATTGTCTAAGTCTGTTAAGGAGCCTTGAGAGAGGTAGAATACAAGTCCAGAACTAAGCACCACACAGGATTGTGTAACAGGTTCAAATCCTCTGAAGTGTGGAAGACTTCTTTGTGAAGTTTTTGTGACCTGTGGGTGTTCAACCTGCAAATGAATACTGAGGGATTCCTTTCACATCCAGGCCAGTTACCTGTTAGAATAAAACAGGTTAAAATATAAATCATTTCCATCTCCTTTGAGTCTTTGAAATGATGATGGGGAACTATGATCTAATGTGTTGATTTTAAAGCCAAAGACACAATTGATAACAGTAGATGTGACCCACTGCCTTGCATCAGCAGTAACATAGCTCAAACAACAGCCATTTTCTCAGCTGTCAAAACATCTCTCTCTCAATAAATCTATTATATGCCCCACCTGAAAGTGGAATGCTGTCATCCACAGAAAAGAAAGAAAGAATCAGGTCTTTTATTTGTGAGTCATGGATAGCTGAATAAAAATGATTAAAAACTCTTTTTTAAGAGGTCCTTCACTGTCTTCTTTTTTCAGTGTTGAATAACCAATCTCAAGACATCATGAGCTGTTGTCTGGCCTAGTGAATAGAATGTTGGGCCCGGAGTCAGGAAGATCTGCATTCAGGAAGATTCCCATCTGTGGTGTTTATTAGTCATGTATTTCCAAAATAGTCAGTACAAAAGCACAAAGAGATAAAGGAAGAATCTTCAATTCAAGATACTTTGCTACTTAGATGAAAGAGCACATTTCCCATAAAAAGATTTTTTTTTCCTTGAGAGAAGAAACTAACACAATCGATCAAAGTCCCATCCTATGCATTAGGGCCTTGCATGCAACATTAGTCTGCAATGAGCTCCTTCTTCGAACTGCAAGAGCATTTATTGCCTGTCTCCCTCTTTTTTGATACTCACATGCTGCCTCCCACTGTTACTTAACTGTTTCTTTACGTTTTGGAAATTCCTGCTTCCAAAACTGGATTGGAAACTAACTGAGGGCAGATACCACGTCTTCTAACATTTCTTTTGTATCACACTCAGCACTTATCCCAACACTATGTAAGGAGCAAACATTCAATAAATATCTATTAAATGGATAAAAAGCCATCGCCTATTCCTGGGGTCCAGGAATGACACCTCAGTTTCTGAGGATAATACTAGTCCCTACCTACCTACCAGGGTTGTTGTGAGGATAAAATGATGTAATATTTGTAAAGTGCTTTGCAAACTTGAAAGTACTATATAAATGCTAGCTATTATCAAGAGAGTAAAAAAAAGTATTAGAAAAACACCAAACAACTCCAAGAACCTCTCCTCTTGTTGTTGTTATTATTGTTGTTGCTGCTGAGTCATTTTTCAGTTGTGTCTGACTCTTCGCAACCCCATTTGGGGTTTTCTTGGCAGAGATACTGGATTGGATTACCATTTCCTTCTCCAGCTCATTTTACAGATGAGGAGACTGAGGCAAATGGTCAAATGACTCGCCCAGGATCACACAGTAGGAAGTGTCTGAGGTCAGATTTGAACTCAAGAAGATGAGTCCTCCTGACTCCAGGCCCAGCCCTTTATCCGCTATGTGACGATCTCCTAGACTTACTCATTCAAATGAAACCTACGTGAAGCAGAAGAAGGTCTATCCATATGATTAATTAAAAAGTGTAAAATAGAGAATACTTTAAAAAGAACTGTACAGCTTTATTATCAGCTACACAGTATAATATTATGGGGCCTTTGAAAATTTCCAGCATATCAATATGATAAATAACTAAACTCATAGGCAGAAATACCACCCAAGAAACCTTTTGTGTTTCAGAGAGCATCTTTTCACTCAGGATGTGCTTACTTAGCTGTCATCTAAAAACAAGTAGCTTCTTTGTGAAATGGATGCTTTGGGTTCCAGAATCTAAACCTATATTACTAGTAATATGAAAAGGGAGCTCACCTCAGAGGTAGGAAGATCTGGTTCTTAGTTTAATCTTGACCTATACTGTCTGTGTGATCCTGGGCAAATCCCTTCACTCCTTATTGCTGCAACAGATTATCAAAGTTCTAAGACTATAAGTTGCAGAGGTGTTAAATTGCATTGACATCAGGAGTTTCCTCACCTAATAGTTCCCTACACCAATTATATCACAGGTCTACTATCCATCTCTATACCTAATATTATTCATTCAGAGTTAATATATATATTAAGGAGTTTAAACATTCCTCATGAGATATTATTAATACAAATTATTTGTTCAATAACCTCCTTTTTGGTAGAGAGTACAAATGTACTCTAGCCAAGTTTTTCTGGGAGTTATCAGAGATTCCTAAATCATCTTAAGAATGTGAATAATATTATTTTTCATATTATCATTCTTTACATAATAATAATGTGAGTCACTGTTGTTTAGTCGTGTCCAATTCTTCATGACCCCATTTGGAGTTTTCTTGGCAAAGGTACTGGAGGGGTTTGCCATTTCCTTCTCTAGTTTATTTTACAGATGAGGAAACTAAGGCAAACAAGGTTAAGTGACCTGCCCAGGGTCACACAGCTAATAAGTGTCTGAGGCTGGATTTGAACTCAGGTCTTCCTAACTCTGGGCCCAGCATGCTATCTACTGTACCACCTAGTTGCCCAATAATATAAGCACTAAGAGCTAAATAAATATTTGTTGCCTTCATATTTATATAGAATTTTAAGGTTTACAAAGTACATTCTTTATAACAGCTCAGCTAGTGGGTAATTTTGTTCCATAAATAGATGAATAAAAGGATCCATGGTCTCAATACCTTGAAAATCTCTCCTGCGTGGGGTTCTCTTGTCAGTTCTTCTTGGCTCAAGCCATCAGAGGCTGAAGTGACATAGAGTTCAGAGTAGTCCTTTCCGCCAAAGCAGCAGGATGTTATCCTAGGAGTGGGCATCTTCACTGTCTGCAATCTTTTTCCTGTAAGAATAATGCTAACAGCTGACATTTATATAGAGTTATAGCTAGCCCTTGGGGCTCAGGGCAAGCTGTGAGAGAAATACTCTGAAACCAGCCTTTTAATTCACGGTATGATAATAATATGAGACAGGATAGTGTAATGCAGAGGTGCCAAGCTCCTGTGTGTAGGCCACAAGCAGCCCACAAAACTCCAAGTATGGCCTGAATCACATTAAAATGTAACTGGGGATTGTTGAACAAAATAAATAAAAATATAATACAACGTAGATAGTTAATTTGTGGTTTTCTAAGTCAATATGTGGCAGGGATCTCCTTCCATTGGAGTTTGACACTTCTAGTCTAGTGGACTGAGTGTTAGACACCATAATCACCCAGCTAGTAATTGTTTGAGATAAGAATTGACCCCGGGCCCCAGGCTTCCAAGTTCATCATCATATTATCTACCAAGCTGCACCACTCATTACACAGGAAGTAAAATATTCCTTTTTTTGGTTACATCTGCTTTGAAAAACTTAGTAGTAATGATTCCTTTATTCTTCCCTATCAGGTTGCTTACCAGGAAAGCAAAACAGCAACCTGGGCTTTTAAAATTTGTTGTTTCATTTCCCTGATGTTAAGGCTAGCTTTTGGTAAAATTGTGAAGTAGGCAAATTCTACACCCTTTCCCATCCCCCTTATTATCTCATACATCTTTCAGGACCTAGTACACTATGACCTCTTCTCTCTCCTTGTTATCACAACCTGCTCTCAATATCAGTCAAGTATATCCTAGTATAAATTTAAGTCTATATATCGTCTCTTGGGAAGTATGGAATAGTAGAAAGAAAGCTGGACTTTGAGATAGAAGACTTAAGGTCAAATACAAGGCCTGGTACCCATTAGGTATATTATAGACAAGCCTTTTAACCTCTAAGCTCCAGTGTCCTCATCTATAAAGGAGGAATAATACTTACATATTTACCTTAAAGGGTTATTTCAAGAAAAGCACTATATAAATGTGTTATTATTATTTGCATTTAAGTCTTATTGTTTGTTCGTTTTGTTTTTGTTTTTTTTTAAGCAATTGGGGTTAAATGACTTGCCCAGGGTCACACAGCTAGTAAATGTCAAGTGTTTGGTCTGAGGCCGGATTTGAACTCGGGTCCTCTTGACTTCAGGGCCGGTGCTCTATCCACTGCGCCACCTAGCTGCCCCAAGTCTTATTGTTGATGGCAGAATGAAAGTCTTTATCCCCCGTTAAACAAGTTTTGGGCACCAGAGAACAGGTCGGAGATGTTTTTTGTCAGGTAAGGTATCCTTCCTGGTACTCCTAGAATTATACCACCTCTTCTATCTTCAAGAAGAATTTTCCTATTGAAAGACTCCCCATTCAAAACCATGAGATTGTGGCTGCAACTAAGAGAGACTTAACCATGGTCATAAGTACTAAGGGAAGCATTTAATATTTAGCATTTTAGTATTTAAGAGAAGTAACATAGTGTATTGGAAAGACCTCTGAACTTGGAGTCACAAGGGAATTGGGTTTGATTCCAGCCTTTTGAACTCAAGTTAGCCTTGTGAATATAGCTAAGTCATTTAAGCCTCTCTGGGGCTGAGATACAGTTAGAAGGTAAACTCATTGCATGCAGGGATTGTTTCATTCTACTTATTTATATCAGCATCTTGCACAGTGCTTGGAACACAGTAGGCACTTAAAAAATTCTTGCTTATCAACTTAAACCCAAATAAGAAATTCCCCTACAACATACCCTTTAAGCCTTTGCTGTAAGACGTCCAAGAAAGATTTTCAGGAAATAATGAAGAGCAAAATGAGCAGAACCAAGAGAACATTTCATACAGTAACAGCAATATTACTTTAAGAATGACTTTGAATGAATAAATTATTTTGACTATTATAAATAACCAAATTAACTATAAAAGACATATGAAGAAAACATTATCTGCATCCAGAGAAAGAACTGATAAATAAAAGTATGCATAGACTAATTTTACATATATATATATATATATATATTTGTGCCTATGGTGGCCATTTCTAGGGGGGGGAGGGAAGAAAAAAAAGACATTTATGTCATAATTTTGTTATATGTTTAAAAGGAACAGCAAGTTATACATAGTAGATTTTCAGTTTCATGTGCAATCATCTTTTTATTATACTATTTTATAGAAATGCTTGTTTTATTCCATAAATTTAAAATAATATTAAAAGAAGACCTTCAAGAAGGGGAAAGAGAAGAGAATAAACATTTATGAAACATCTATCATGTGCCAGACACTTTACAAATATGATCTCATTTAATCTCACTGCTTTCTGTTGTATCCATTCTACTGTGAGATGGTTCTTATTATTAGAAGGTTTGTCCTTATATCAAGCTAAAATTCTCCTCTTTAATTTCTACCCATTGCTTTTAGTTCTGCCCTTTGGGGCCAAGCAGAAAAAGGGTAATCTTTCTGCATGCCAGCTCTTCCTATATATAAGCAGCGATTTTATCCCTATACTCTTTTGTTCTCCAATCTAAACATCTCCCCAGTTGTTTCATTTGATCTTCATATGGCACAATCTTTAATCCAGACTCTCCACCCTCTTCTGAATGCTTTGTAGTTTATCAGTCCTTTTAGGTAAATATAATTCAAAACACAGGAAATAAGGGAATCTATATCCACAAAAGTTCCAAGCTCCTGGCTAGTTACAAGATGCAAAAACCACCTGAATACTCTTTTCTATTACCTGCATTGCTAAAGCTAAAACAAAATGCCTCAGATGCATACTACCAGAAGGCAAAGTAACTGTGTTAGTCCCAAATTTTTAAAATTCCGTGTACAAAAATGCAACATATAATACAGACAAACTTACAGGTGGTCGTTCACTTTATAAAAAAGAGTCTTCATTTTATCATTTTTAAAAATTTGTCAGAATTGATACAACTATCCTCCTTCCCCTTTTGATAGCACTTGACATTCCTGGCCACCATCTTCTTTTTTTGGTAATCTCTCTTCCCTTGGCTTCCATTACTTAGATTAACCTATCCTGCTTCTCTTTATATTGATCATTCTACATCTCCTTTCCTGACTCCTCGACTCTACCTCGCTTTCAAAACGTAAAATTTGGTAATTTGGTAAGTAATTCACGATGCCTCGTGTTCCCTACGGTTTTGTCTTCACCTTCTCTTGCTTTACTCTCTTTCTTGGCAATCCAATCTGGCTCCAACGTTTCAATGATCACTCTTATGGAGACGACTCCCCCAAATTAATTCACAGGATCACAGTGTCTGAAAGTTGGAAGAGACCTCAGTGGACATCTAACCTACCCCATACCCAAAAGGAATCTCCACTATCATGAAACTAACCAGTGGTCATCCAGGCAGCTAGGTGGCATAACAGATACAGTAGACATACAAAGTTAGGAAGACCTGAGTTCAATGCCTACCTCAGAGACTTACTATGTGACCCCTAAGCAATTCACTTAGCCTCTCAGACTCAGTTTCCTCACCTGTAAAATGGGGATAATATATTGCCATCACTGGGTTATCATGAAGATCAAATGACATGACATATGTAAAGCACTTTGCAAACCTTAAAGTGCTAGATAAATGCTAGTTATTATGCAACCTCTTGAAAACTTTCAATAAGGGAGAACCCACTACTTCCTGAGGCAGCACATTCCACTAGGGACACCTCAAACTGTTAGGGTATTCTTCCTTACATAAAGTATAAATTTTCCTCTTTGAGACTTCTACCATTGTCCATCAGAGCCAAATAGAACAAGTTGAATCTGTCTTTCACTTTTAGACACTTAAACACAACTATCATGGCTCCTGAGTCTTCTCTTCTCCAGGCTTAAGTATGCCTGGCTCCTTCGACTAATTGTCCTGTGACATCTATTCGAGGCCCTTCACCATTATGGTTGCTCCCTTCTGGACTCTCTCCAGTCTATTAATGTCCTTCTTAAAACATGGCACCAGAACTAGAACTCTGTTTCCAGCCCTGACTTCTCATGCTCCATTTCCAACAATTCATTGCTCCACTGACACTTCAACTTACATTTCTCATATTTCTCCTCCCACCCCAAACCAGTCCTTCATCCTCAGAACCTTGAAATTATCCTTGACTTTACCCTCTCTTTCATGCCTCCTATCCAGTGAAACACCTCATCCTACTAATTCTTGTTTTACAATATCTCTCAAATCTGTCTCTTCCTTTGTTTTCTGTTATCATTTCTACTGCTCCAGGATCAGGTAATATTACCTCACACCTAGACAATTAGCCTCCTAGTTATTCACCCCACCTTCAGCTGCTACTCACTCATCCAGCAGCATTTCCTAAATTTAAAAAAAAATTTCCCCGCTTAATAGCATTTTATTTTTTCCAAATGCATGTAAAGATAGTTTTCAACATTTGCTTTTATAAGATTTTGATTTTCAAATTTTTTTCTCCCTCCCTCCCTCCCTCCTTCCCTTCCTCCCCTCCTGTCCCCTGTCCTCAATATGGTAAGCAGTCTGATATAGGTTATATATGTACAATCACATTAAATATATTTCCATATTAGTTATGTTGTGAAAGAAGAATCAGAACAAAAAAGAAAAACCACGAGAAAGAAAAAAAAAGAGAGAGAAAATAGTATACTTTGATCTGCATTCAGACTCCATAGTTCTTTCTCTGGATGTGGATAGCATTTTCCATCATGAGTCTTTTGGAACTGCCTTAGATCATTGCATTGCTCAGAAGAGCTAAGTCTATCAAAGCTAGTCATTGCGCAATTTTGCAGTTACTGCATATACTGTTCTCCTGGTTCTGCTCATTTCACTCCGCATCAGTTCATATAAGTCTTTCCAGGTTTTTCTGAAATCTGCCTGCTCATCATTTTTTATAACACAATAGTATTCCATTACATTCATATACCACAATTTTTTCAGCCATTCCTCAATTGATGGGGCATCCCCTCAATTTCCAATTTTTTTTGCCACCACAAAAAGAGCTGCTCTAAATATTTCTGTACATGTGGGTCCTTTTCTCTTTCTAATGATCTATTTGAGATATAGACCTAAGCATTTTTTAAAAAGAGTCACATTTCTATACACACACACACACACAACCATTAATGACTTTCTCTTGATAGGAGAGTATCCTATAATAGTAAGAGCACTGAATTTGTAATCAGAGACCTAAGTCCAGATCTACCACCAGATACATATTTTTCTTTTGTTTTTTTTTTTATTTTTTTTTTTAATCTTGGGCTAATCATTTAACCTCTATGGACTTCTCTATAAAATGAGGGAATCAAAATGGATGAAAGAAAAGTATCTATTAAGTCCTTACTCCGTGTCAAGTACTGAGTTAAGCACTTAGGATACTAATTTTTTAAAATGAGACAGTCCTTGCTCTCATCTAACTGGGAGAAAAAGACAATACATAAAATAAAGCTGAGCTGCAGAGTAGATCAAATAGTCCAGGAATCCTAAGGGTTCATCAGTCAGATGACAAGGTCCCAGGGTTCTTAAGTAGGTCAGATGACAGTGGGATGTGGGAGGTGAGGGAGGGATAGTATTACAAGGTTTAGAGACAAAGCAAATGGAAAAGCCTGGAAGTCCTTAACAAGTAGTGAAAGAGTAGATGGTAAGGCCTATAGGTCCTTCATCTCATTAGAAGGAAAAGAATTATTGACTCCCATCTCATCCAAGTCTTGTGTGCCATCAAGCAGCCTGAGTAAAAGGGGAAGGCAGAGGGAGAGGACGTTCCCAATGGTGGCAGGTCTTTCTTCTACCTGGTAGTCCCAGATGAGTTCTGCAATGGCATGAGACAGGGGAAGGGTGATAGGGAGGACAGGTGTTGTACTAGACAGTCTTTAATTTCCCTTCTAATTCTTAAGCTTATTATTTAGGCAGCTCAGAAATGAAGTGGTTAGAGGGCTGGAGTTGGAGTCAGAAACACCTGAATTCAAATCCTGCCTCAGACATTTATAAACTGTGTGACACTTACAACTGCTCTCTGACTCAATTTTCTCATCTGTGAAATGGGACAATGATAGCCCAACCTTATAGGGCTGCTGTGAGGAACAAATGAGTTAACAGATGTGAAGCACTTTGTAAACCATAAGGTGCTATCTAATTTGAGTTATTATTGTTGTTGTTGTTCATCTTTCATTTCCAAAGAGGACCAATGACATCACAGGGTGATGTCTTGACTTGTGCATAAATTGGATTTAAGTGACGTAGAGTTCACAAAGTCATAGGCCTCACTCTCTCTTCTTAAGTCATCAAAGTCCAATGGCAGGACAAAAGTCAGAATGAGTGGCAATGGCCCAGGAGGCAGTGGATGACCTTGGCATCTTTGAGGTCTCACCAAGCTCTAAGCATTCCACAGCACCTGCTTCAGCTGCCTTCATGGCTGAGGACAAATTGTTCTCATGTTTGGGGTAGACATCTCAACTAATGCACATCCTAACTCACCCACAGGTTTGAGGCTTGTCCGTTACCCTCAACCTGGTTTAGCCCATCTGCTGAGATGGTTTTACCTGGGTATGGCTGCTGCACATGCTACAGTTTCTTGGAGTTACAGGTGAGAGTTGGGTGCCAAGAAGACACCAAAGGCTAATGGGCAACCCTGAAAAGAGCTCAGTAAGCCCTCACACCAGTGATACTAATCCTCTCTGAATATCCCATGTGCTGCTGTTTATTACTATTATTATTATATTTTGCATATAATAGATGCTCAATAAATATTTGTTGAAATGTGAAAAAATTGCCACTTTCTTTAGTGAATTTAAAATTTGATCAGATTTATGTGAAAATCATTTTACTTGTGACTTCTGAGGGACATTGGTCCATAAAGGAAAATTAAATAAATACATAAATAAATCCTATAAGAAAAATGAAAGGCTGCAAGAATAGTGAGGGCAAGTATGATTTGACAAATCAGTGACTATTACCTTATTTCTGTCTCTCTGAAGTCAGCATACCAGCATGCCACTTCCACCTGGAAATGCCTACAGCCCATTCCAAAAACATTCCATGCCTGACAACCATTTTCAGAATTTCATTTGCAATATTTTACCTGTCTCAGGGTCCAAACGTATTATTCTTCCAGCATCAATGCAGGCCACCCACAGCTTCCCTTGAATGTCAATGCACATACCATCAGGCATGCTTTCTTCCTCTTCCAACTTATAGATAAGCCTTCTATTGTCTATAAAAGAAGAACAAGGATGGAGATTTTTATAAAATCATAGACTTATAAAATCTCATTGTTGGAAGGGGCCTCAGAGGTGAGCTATCTTGGGAAAATGTCCTAAGTGGCACCCACATACCTCCATGAAAGTTAGGCTAGATTTTCCTTAAAAGGTATGGAAACTGTCCTGGAGATCTGATTGGCTCAGGAGACTAAAGCTTACAACCACAGATCATCAGGTGTATTCTGCTGAATCAGTTTTTTATCCTGGATGAACACACCTCTGTTCTGTATGTCCTGCTCTGGCAAAGTACACCTCCTTTTGTTAACTGTTAGCTAGATTTCTAGCATCTGATTTCATTCCAATTTCAAATGCAAACTTCCTGGATCTGAGTCAGGCCCAGCTCATTATACCAACTTGTACTCAAAACATGAACCCCATTTACAAGAACCCTGACAATATCAACCTCTACTTTAACACCTCCAGTGATGGGAAACTTACGAAGCAGCCAGTCTCATTTTGGGATAGTTCTAATTATTAGGAAATTGTTTTCCTTAAAGCTGAGCCAAATTCCACCTTCCCTGCAATTTCCACCCTCTGAGATCAAGAAGAGTAACACTGTTTCCTCTTTTAGGTGACTAATCTTTATTACTTGAAGACGTATTTCTTTCTCAAACTTCTTTTTTTCCTAATTTCTTTTCTCCACATTTCCAGTACCTTTAACTGATCCTCGCATGGCATGGTTTGGGGCTCTCTACCTATCCTGGTCACTCTCTGAATTTACTTTAAACTCTTCCATGTCCCTTTTCCAATCTGGTATCCCAAGACTTCACTTGAGATGACTAATACTTTCTGTGATTGTGCCCAAAATTGAATGATCTTTGTTGGCCACTGCATCACTGATTCAGAGTTCAATACCAACACCACTGCCCCCACTCCTCAACATCTTTTTCCATGAACTAATTTCTCACCATGTCCACTCCCATCTTCCCATCCATACCTCTTTGGGGTATAGACCTACTAATGGACAAAGGGTATAGTTTGATAGCTGTTGAGGTATAGTTACAAATTGCTTTCTAGTATGGTTGAATAAATCCACCAACAGTGTATTAAAATACCTGTTTTCCCACAGCTCCTCCAGCATTTGTCACCTTCCTTTTTCATCAACTTAGCCAATCTGACAGGTGTGAGATGGCACCTCAGAGTTGTTTTAATTTGCATTTCTCCAATTATGAATGATTTAGAACATTTTTTCATATAGTTTTTGATAGCTTGGGTTTCTTCTTCTCAACACTGCTTATTCACATCCTTACCATTTATCAATTAGAGAACAGATCTTATTCATACAAATTTCATTCAGTTCCCTGAGAAATGAGACCTTTATCAGAGAAACTTGCTGCAAAGATTTTCCCCAATTTCTTGCTTCTCTTCTAATTTTAACTGCAATAGTTTTGTTTGTGCAAAAACTTTTTTTTTTTAATTTTATGAATCAAAATTGTTCATTTACCTCCTTTGAACCTATCTCTTGTTTGGTCATGAATTCTTTCCCCATCTATAGATCTAGCAGGCAATTCCTTCTATGTTCTTCTAATTTGCTTATGTTATTATCCTTTATGTCTAAATCATTTATTGCTTATTTTAGTATATGGTGCATCACTTGTTCTTTTAAAATGATTGAGACTTCCATTTAGTCTTGTGAGTCTTTTTTTTTTTTTTTGACTAGGCAGTGGGGTTAAGTGACTTGCCCAGGGTCATAGAGCTGGTAAGTGTTATGTGTCTGAGGCTGGATTTGAACTCAGGTCCTCCTGAATCCAGGGCCAGTGCTCTATCCACTGTGCCACCTAACAACCCCTCTTGTGAGTCTTTTAAGGAGACTGAAGTTGAACCATTTTGGAGGAAGAGGGATTACTCTTTTAGAAGTGAAATATATTCCTATTGTCTCACTAAAGTGTGGGAATTGTAGCTCCTTTAATGTCAATTACTTTCCTTCCTGAACAAATACTCTATGTTTTGATGCTTATTGGAAGACTCTAAATGTTTACAATGAGTGGAGTCATTAATACTTCTAGGTAGAGTTAAAATGAGCTAGGTTCTAATTTTTTCAGAGACAGAATCTGTATAGAGGAATAAGCCAGAGAGATAGGAGTGATTATTGAGAATTCTCAAGATCGACTTCAGTCTGAGTGTGGAAAGCATAAGGTTTGGCTCTGTTTTCTTACTCCTCCCTCTGTTTCTATACCACCATTATCCCAGTCCTTGCTGCTTGAAATCTCAGTCTTTTTTTATTTCTTCTTCTTCTTCACACCTTCCCCTAAAGCTACTTTGACAAAATCATCCTTTGACAAAACCTTTCTCTTTCATTTCCACTGCTACCATCTAGCTCACACTTTAAAATCTAGTCTCTAAATTGGTCTCCCCAACCCTAGCTGTAGCCCTACTCAATCCATCCTGCATATTACTTGAAGATTATTGCGTTATGCAAAGCGTAAGCATTTAATTGAAATCATCTTCCCAAGACACAAGACACTTTGATCTTGTTATCCTTGCTCAAAAATCTTCAAGGGCGTAAAGAATAAAACTGAAGTCTGGCATTTTTCTTATTGTTAGGCTGAACTATTGTTTAAATCTTGCATAGCTGTTTAACTTTTTACCGATATGTTTTGTTTCCCCTGTTAGACTGTGAGATGCAATTGGGGCAGAGTCCATTTTTTTGTCTCTCTTTGTATTCACAAGGCTTAGCACAATTCTTGGCACATAGTAGGCACTTAATAAATGCTTATTGACTGACTCACTGTCATTCATTCTTTCCTTCCTTCCTTCCATGCTTGCTTCCTTCCTTGCTTCCTTCCTTCCTTCCTTCCTTCCTCTCTCTCTTTACTTCACCTAGCCTAGAAGTTCCACAAGCACTCACAGGCCTACTGTGAGTGCTCTTTGGCATGGATGCCTTGACCTTCTGACTTGAATATGTTCACTCTTCCTTAGAGGGTGAATCCCCAGGGGCTCACGATATCAGTGCCAGATTTAGCGTGGACCCTCAGTCAGCTTTAGCCCACTGTAATTCAGAACTCCAGAGAGTACATGATCCATCAGCCTCAGCTGCCCCAGGAACAGAGATTACAACACCACTCCCAGTCATTTTTCTACTCAATTTAACAAGCATCTATTATACAATAAACCAGTGTGTACCAAAGAAGAATAAATAGCAAAAACAGACTGAGTCAAAGAATATTATTCATAATAACATGACCACTGATCTCAAGGGTCTTCAGCTCTGTAACAACACATCAAAGCAACATTCTTTGATGTTTCGTAATAATGGATGTTGCTGTGAATTTTCCATTGCTATCTGGGTAAACCAGTTATCTTGGTTAGATGAAGGAAAATACACACATAGACTCACAGAATTTTAACCCTAAACGTGAATTCAGAAGTTATTTAATCCAACCTTCATTTTACAGATTAAAACAAACAAAACAAAAACAAAAAACCTCACTAAGTTCAAATAACTAGTTAGTAGTAGAGCCAGAGCTCAAACTCAGGTCTTTTAACTATAAGCTCAGCCTTCCTTCTACTACTCAAGCACTGCCACAGCAGGTCAGACCCATGGCCTGAGCAGTCCATGCTCTGTATATCACAATACAATGAAGGAACATTATCATCAAAAGGGTTATGGTCCTTTTGATGAAAATGGCCTTGCTCATTGGCATGAAGACAACTCCCCATCTCATGGCCACCAACAAAATTTCTCTGCCCTAAATTATCTCCCCCATCTACTTGGGGAATGGGGATAATTCCTTAAAGAGGAGGAGACCCTTTGATTCTATAATTAAAACCTAAAGTGAAAATAGCCCTAGAGGAAGTATTGCATGGACAAATTCATACTAAGGTTAAAAAAAAAAAAGGACTTTTCAAAGGGCAGGTTTTACTAGGGAAAGGGAAACAGAGAACCCGAGGGTACTGGGTGCTTTAAATCAGGTAAGGTAGGCCCAGAGAGCCTATAAATGACTATACATGTCTGTAACAGGAGTTTTGTTTTTCTTTCTTTCTCAATTGAGGGGAAGGTGGAAAGGAGCAAAGGTAGATTTTCATTGATTAAAAAAAATAGAATTAAATTTTTAAAAAATTCACCTGCTTCACAATTTGTCCTATGACTAGGTTTGTACCATGGTAGCTGCATCAAGGATAATGCATGAATCCTAAAGTACTGGCAAGTTGTCTTAATAGTCTATCATAGTTCTGCTATACACTAATTTATCAAAACCATTTTTGAATCTGTTTCTATTTTTTTTTTCAATTACCTCTTAGGGCAGTGAGTTCCATAAATTTATTAGCATCCATGTGAATTATTTGTCCTAAGTGAACCATTTGCAAGCTTTCCTGCCCTTCTCTCCATTCCTACCTTGAAGAACAAGTCCATGTTCACATCATCTGTACCCCCTGGCTTAATAAGAGTATCTTTCCAGGATTACTGAAATAAAAAGGGCCACAAGATCATATCCATACCAATCTTCCCTGATGGTAGGTCATAGTCAAAGGCATGCACAGCATATGTCAGACTATCAATGTGGTAGAATATTTGGTGATCCAGAGACCAGTCCAATCCATTGGAGATGCCTAGCTGGTCCAATTGCTTCACCACAGAGCAATCCGAATAGAGAGTATAGATAGACCCTTGTTGTTTCTCCCATACTCCTGGGCTAGATTCCTCAGCCATTGTACCTACAGGGATCAATCAATCAGTCAACCTTTATTAAGCATTTACTGTGGCTAGATACTAGACACTTGCTAAATCAAAAACAAAAAATAGAGAGACAGTGTGGTATAACGGTTAGTCAGCCAGCCCTGGGTTCAAATTTTGCCTTAGATACTTGCTAGTCTCTAAATGAGAAATGTTTGGACTTGGAATAATATTAAACTAAATAAAAATTGTTTCTGGCAGACTTAGACCTGAAGCTCAGTATACAATATTAATTTTTTTGACACAAATTGCTTCAACTTTCTGAGACTCAGTTTCCTCATCTGTAGAACAGAGATAATAATATTTTCACTACCTATCTCACAGGGTTATTGTGAAGAAAGCAGTGAGACAACTTTAAGAAACAGTATAAATATGAATCATTATTACTATTTCCATCCTTACCAGCCACAAATCTTCCAGCAGGGTCCACTTTGCCATCATTGAACCTGTTGTTTGGTTTATCCTGTTCAAGGTAAGAAACAGTTGTCACTGATTGGTCTTCCCAGCTCAAGAGGCCAAACCGGGTTCCAAGGGCTACAACATAGCCCCCACACTCTCGGAGAGCCACACATCCTACCCGGGCATCTGCAAGAAACACAAAGGAGCAGAGACAGTGGAGAACAAAAATCACTCCGAGTTATGCAGTGCTATGGAAGGGTATCTGTCCAACCCCTGCTCATGATTCTGGGACAAGCAGTCATCCACAGCTCTACTTGAAGATTCCCCATGATTGGAGACCCATTCCATTTTTTGGATAGTTCTCATTGTTTGGAAGTTTTTCCTTACATTGAGTCAAACTTATCTCCCTATAATTTCCTATCCTCCAGAGTCAAGCAGAACAAGTCTGAACCCTTTTCCACATGATAATCCTTAAATACATTTGAATTAAACTTCAAATATTTATATCCTCCCTTCTCTTTTCTCCTTCGTCTTCTCTTCTTCAAGTTAAATATTCCTAGTTCAATCAATCAATCAATCTTTATATTGTGTGGTTCCAAGTCTCCTCATCCTTTTGGTTGCATTTCTCTGGATAACTTCCAACTTGTCAATGTCCCATGCAAAATGTGGTGTCCACAGCTGGGTACAAAGCTCCAGATATGGTCTAACCAGGATAGGATACTATCTAAATACTATGCTTTTGCAACCAGTAGTTTCACACAATGTGAACAGGGCTTCTCTGCTTAATTCCAGCCAACCACATGTGTTTACCCAGGGCTTGGTGCTTAGCGATTACAAAATTCTTGGCTGATATTCACCAATCATGTGTGACTCAGGACTAAAGGGTGCTTTGGGCATGATGAAGCAATCCCCTTGTTAATCACTGAGCCAGAGGAACTGATGATTAGCTGACTATTAAAAGGGAATTGAACCACCTTCATTCATTTCTTTCTTTTCCCTACTACAAAGCATGAGAGTTCTCTTCAATCTTCTTGCTGGAGGGATTAGGACTTGTCACCCTTTCCTACCCACCTATTCCCCTATAGTCACCACTGCTGCATGGCAATGGGAGATAGAACAAGAACACTCAACTAGGTGAACTTGAGCCAGAGCTTCTGTCTGCCGGTTCTACTTTGTTATTCTTTGTTTGATAGTAAATGACCGAATAGTGATTTTGAGATAGTCCAGTCATGTTGAGTTGGAGAGGTTAAATCCAGAGTCCATCAGTCAAAGATGACTGAAGGTAAAAGGAATTTCTTCATTTGACAAGATGACCTCTGACAAGAGGCTGAGCCCAAGCCCTGATCTGCTGTGCCAGAAGACATGGACCTGAAGTTATTTGGACCTTGTAGAGCCTAAATAAAATTTAACAATGCCCATTCAGCAGTTCCACAAAATATTTTATGCTCCAATGTTTAAATCTTAACCTTCCAGCAGAGGTTTAACAGTAGTAAGTATTATTACTTGTTTAAGTTGTTTAAGTATCTATCAATACATGATGAATATAACCATATTACAAATTAATGTAACCTGTTTTATGTCTTATTGTCAATGTGAACTGATGAAAATCTTTCATATATAACATTTCTTTAGTGTATAGGAAATACCTGTCCCATTCCGGATTTATATTGCACATTGTATACTTTTTTACTCCTCACTTTGGGGAGAATTTAGATATGAACCAAGCCTACATTTAAGTAATTTTCCCTTGGGGTGAAAAGAACCTAGCCTTCTTGTTAGAGGCCAGACTCCTCTAGAACTGAGGTTCATCCAATCACCAAGTGACTAGTCCAGAACTGAGAGGGTCCCCTTATGGAGAGAGAAGAGAGAGACGACAGACAGACTATACTGGCCGCACACCGACCTTCTGCCAGCCGTGCGCCAGTACCCACTCCTTCTATAAGGAGTACACTACCAGAGTCTTACCCACACCCGGGTCTTCGGTCCTCAGCCGGATCACCACACAGAGACGAGCCATTGGGAGGTGCCAACACCAGAGCTTTATTCAGAGGCCAACACAGCAAGCCATCATAGCAAGCCCAAGCAGCAAGGCCAGAGCAACAGGGCAGGAGCCAGGAGAGCGCATGTGTGATCTGACCACGCTTGTTCTAAGTACCTACCTAGCCCCTCCTCCCCAGCCCGCTTACTAGCCAATGATTGTAGGGTCAGATACCGGAAGGGGCTGTCTGAGTTTAGCACACCAAGGGGGAGGGAGTGACGTAGGAGGCCAGGACCGGATATAGGAAGGAAGCATCTGGGAATAGCGCATAGACAAGAGTACGTGACCTAGGAAGTCATACTCAGGAGGGGTCTGGGTCAGTGCTGCACAAAGGGACCCAGGAAGTCAGGAAGGTCACAAGAGGCATCTGGGGATGACGTTGCATATAGGGAGGGGACTAAGCAGAGGGAACTCAGTCCTCTGCCGTCCCACTCCCACATGGCACCGCCCCTTGCCTCAGGAGCTCAAGCTCCAACTACTTCCTTGTACCCAGCTTATCTCACAAAGCACTGCCCAATTGCCTCAGGGCTTCTCCGTATCCAGCCCATCCCAGTACACACGACTCTGCCTACCACAGCCCCTGCCTCGACTTCCAAAATACCCAGATCTTACCTTACCCTTGCCACAGCGCCCAACCTAGTAGCTGCCAACATCAGACAGTCCCTCACAGACAGACAGAGACAGAGAGAGACAGAGAGAGAGGATGCAGTACCCTAATCCCTCAGCTCCCAGGTTTATTAATTGTTAGATTCCTATTAATGTAGTCTAATATTAGTTAGTTTTTTCATTTACCATGTCATGATGCAAAATTTTATGGAGTTTTTTTTTAGTGTGAACTGCTTTTGGGCAGGGGCATTTTATTTTTTTAAATGTAAATAGTATTTTATTTTTGCCAATTACATGTAAAGACAATTTTCAGCATTCATTTTTTTTTTAAGCAATTGCAGTTAAGTGACTTGCCCAGGGTCACACAGCTAGTAAGTGTCAAGTGTTTGGTCTGAGGCCGCATTTGAATTCAGGTCCTCCTGACTTCAGGCCAGTGCTCTCTCCACTGCGCCACCTAGTATTCATTTTTTAATAAGATTTTGAGTTCCAATTTTTCTCCCTCTCTCTTTCCCTTCCCTCTTCCCCAAGACAGCAAGCAATCTTATACAGGTTACACATGTACAATTATGTAAAACATATTTCCCACGTGAACTGCTTTTGTATTTATGCTTCCCTGTACTTGTGTATAGCAGAGTCATGTTGCACCAAAAGATTACTTTCTAAATTCAGTACAAAAGGTATATCACATAAGATAGTAATTACCCCAGGAAATCCTTGAAATCACCTATATAAAATAGTTGTTGTTCACTCATGTTCAACTCTTTGTGACCCCTTGGACCAGTGGAGGGGAACCTGCGGCCTTGGGGACACATGTAACCTTCTAGATCCTTGGGTGCAGCCTTTTGACTCAGTCCAAGTTTTACAGAACAAATCCTTTTATTAAGGGGATTTGTTCTGTAAAGTTTGGATTCAGTCAAAGAGCTGCACTTGAGGACATAGAGGGCCACAGGTGGCCTCAAGGCCCGCAGTTCAATAGCCCTGCTTGGGACCATACTGTCCATGGGGTTTTCTTGGCAAAGACACTGGAGTAGTTTGCCATTTCCTTTTCCAGCATATTAAGGCAAATAGAAGTTAATTAACTTGCCCAGGGTTACACAGCTAATAAGTGTCTGAGGCCAAATTTGAACTCGGGTCTTCCTGACTCCAGGCCCCGTGCTTTATCTACTGAGTCATTTAGCTGCCATAAAATATAGTACAGTATCTTTAAATACTTGTGTCTGAGAAGAGGTTCAGGCCTGTTTCAAAGAAGGCAGTTTGTATCAGAAAACAGATGGATCCAAAATGGTTGCTATAGAAAAATTGAAAGTAAGTTTAATTTTTTTTAATAACACCTCATATCAAAACTTTTACTCAAATAGAAGAAAACAAAAAATAGGCAAAGACTTAGTTGACAGGAAAACTGATAATCGTAGGGAAAATACTCTTGAAAAGGATTTATGTAGGTGTGATTACATAAGAGTGTGATCTCACTGTCACATGCCTGTTACTTCTTCCTACTTTATCATGAGACAAGAGAAAGCACCAAAAAGTCAAGAGGAACACGAGGGCCATTCTAGTTCACTAGGAATATTAGAAAGAACAACTGAGGCAGTCTCTCTCATTATCTCTATCAGCTTGACCAAAATGAATATTCATGGTCTGTCGGTATGATGAAGAGGAGATTTAAAATATACACGGGGCATGGGAGATGCTCACAGCATAAAAAGGCCTAGCTGAGACCTGCTGAGGGAACAGCACATTCACCTCTCCCATCTCAACACTCACTCTAAGGCATAAATTAAACTTGACTAAGTTAAATGCATCTATGATTTTATTCCTTCATAGATGACTTTTTTTAAAAGCCCAAGTGTAGGATTTTTTATGTTTATTCCTATCGAATTTTATCTTACTAGCTTCAGCCAACGTTGTGATCTATCATCCAGTGTGTTAGCTATCTTTCCCTGCTTTCATCATCCGCAAATTTGGTGTGCATATCATTGATTCCTTCATTTAAATACATGGTCTTTAAAAATGATTAAACCAAACAAAGCCAGGTATATATGGACTCCCAAACACCAGCCGTCATCCATCTCTTTCACATTATCAGAGCTTTGTCTTCTTCTGTATTAACTCTCAATGAAAAAATATGGATTTGTTCTCTTTTTCAATTTTTCTATCCTCTTTCCTTTTTTTAGATTCTGAACTTAAGAAATAAAATAAGCATTTCCATGACAAAGTGGAATAGAAAAAAAAACAGGATTGCACCTGAAATTGTAGATCCATTATGTACAACTTGCTATCTCTTAAATATACAACAAAGTTATCATGCAGCTTTCTTTTTCCCTTCCCTCCCCCTCACCCTAGAGATGGCTATCATTAGACACAAACGTGTGGAGGGCGAGGGGGCTGGAGGGGGTTGAGGGTGAAAGGTTGAGTTCTTTCTCTGGCTGCAAACATCCTCCTTCACAGGACCTTTTCTGTTAATTTGGGCATTTATAATAGAATGACTTGATCACTCTAAGTAGTTCTTTAGAACAATATTTCTGTTACTGTATACAATGTTCTCTTGGTTCTGCTCATTTTGCTCTTCATTATTTCATGCAGGTCTTTCCATGTTTTTCTAAAATCACCAAGCTCATCATTTCTTATACAAGAATAATATTCCATCACAAACATAAACCACAATTTGTTCAATCATTCCCCAGTTAATGGGCATCCCCACAATTTCTAGTTCTTCACCTTCACACTTCACAAAGAGAGCTGCTATAAATATTTTAGAACATATAGGTTCTTTTCCTTTTCCCTTAATCATCTTGCAAAACAGACCTAAAAGTAGTATTTCTGGGTAAAAGGATATAGCCAGTTCAATAGCACTTTGGATATAATTCCAAATAGCTCTCCAAAATGGTTGGATCAGCTCACAGATCCACCAACAATGAATTAAGGTTCTAATTTTTCCACATCTTTTCCCCTTTTCTATGGAGAAGGAAACTTCTTGCTAATCTTTCAAAATATAAAGATCAGGGGCAGCTAGGTGGTACAGTGGATAGAGCCTTGGAGTCAGGAGGGCCTGAGTTCAAATCCAGTCTCAGACACATAACACTTCCTAGCTGTGTGGCTCTGGGCAAGTCACTTAACCCCAATTGCCTCACAAAAAAAAAATTACAAAATGTAATGACCATCTTCAGGATTCTCTAACCAATGAATTGTTTAATTTCAGTTATGATGAATTTGTTTTGTCTTTGATATCACTCCTTAATACAGCCTTCGTTAAGCTGGTGAGACAAAGTCTCACAACATTAGAGGCAAAAGACATTTTCCAGAAGAAGCTCTGGTCCCTTTCTCCCTACAAATATCAATCAATCATTCAACAAATATTTATCAAGCACTTACTCTATTCCAGGAACTATGCTAGATATAGAGGATTCAAGTACAAAGAATGACAGGATTCCCACTCTCGAGGAGCTTACATTCAAAGTACAGGTTACCCTAAAGGCCAACAAGCAACAACCTGATTGCTTTCTGGTGAAGTCTACCACCAATTTCACCATCAAGACTTGCTAATGCTTTCTTTAGACTCACAAACACCTGCTCCCTTCCTTTCTTCAACAACACAACACCACTGATAATAAAAACTAGCATTTACACAGAGCTTTAAGGTTGCAAAGTGCTTTGCATCTGTTAAATTGCTTGATCTTCACAATAACCTTGTGAGATAGGTATTATTATCTCCATTTCACAGTTGAGGAAACTGAGGCAGACAGAAGTTAAGTGACTTACTCAGAGTCACACAGCTAGTGTCTAAAGCACTAAAGCACTAAAGAACTCAAGTCTCAGACCCTCATGATTTTCTGAAAAGGATCATTCAACCAACAAGTTACCTACTAGGTAGGTACTTTGCCCAATGATAATATAAAAGTAGAAGATAGAGTCCTTCTCAAGAGGCTTACAATCTAGTTGGGAGAGGTGTTGTTGTTGTTGTTGTTACTGTTTGCCCTTCATTCTTGAAGAGGACATTAGGAGAGCGATGTACTGACTTGTAAGTGAATTGGATTTAAGTGAGGCAGAGCTGTACAAAGTCATCAGCTTCACTCTGTCCTCCAGGATCATCGGAGTCTTGTAGGAAGACACAGGTCAAGACCACTGGCAATGGCCCCAGACGTAGTAGGAGACCCTGGCATTTTTAAGCCAAGGTCTTTCCCAGCTCTGTCCAGAACAGAAACAATTGCTATTTACACTCACTCTGAGTCATCAAAACCCAAATAAAGAGCAAGTGAGGCTCGGGCTGGGACATATTATTGGCCAGTCAGTGGGAACCAGATTTGGGTTTAAAAGCATAGTCAAGTAGCTCCATTTTAATCACTATGGGCCTTAACAAAGTCTGGTTTTCAGAGCTATATTTCAAGGAATCATAAATGAAAATTATATGAAACAAAAGAGTTAACTGTTCCAGTTAAAAAAAAAGAATAGAGAACAAAAAAATCTAGCCTCCAAACCCTAAGATACCTTGCAAAATATAAGAGATAAAAAAATTTGTATTTCTTTGGACAGAGTACCCACATGTAAGAGTATGACTCCCACAGAGGGAGAAAAGGGGAGAGGTACTGATAGTAATATGAAAAGAGCAATAAGAGAACAATACACATGTATAATCAGAATACACATATAAAATTAAGTGCTCACATGTACAAAACTTTTTATTGGAGCAATTTTTGTGGTGGCGAAGAATAGAAAATTGAGAGGATGACCATCAATTGGGGAATGGCTGAAAAAGTTATGGTATATGAATGTAATGGAATACTACTGTTCGGTAAGACATGATGAGCAGGCAGACTTCAGAAAAACCTGGAAAGACTTACATGAACTGATGCTGAGTGAAGTGAGCAGAACCAGAAGAACATTGTACACAGTAACAGCCACATTGTGAGATGACTAACTTTGATAGATTTACCTCTTCTCAGCAATACAATGATCTAAGACAATTCCGAAAGACTCTTGATGGAAAATGCTGTCCACATCCAGAGAAAGAACTATGGAGTCTGAATGCAGATCAAAGCATACTATTTTCTGTCTCTCTTTTTTTGTTTTTGTGGTTTTTCCCTTTTGTTCTGATTCTTCTTTCACAACATGACTAATGTGGAAATATGTTTAACGTGAATATACATGTATAGCTTTTATCAGATTGTTTGCTATCTTGGGGGGGGAGTGGAGAGAGGGAGGAAGAAAAAAATTTGAAACTCAAAATCTTATACAAGTGAATGCTAAAAACTAAAAATAAATTTTAAAAAATTAAAAAAATAAAATTAAGTGCTCAGTTGTGTGGCACAGAGTAGATGTGCCCTTGGAGTTTGGAGGACAGCTAGAGGCTTATTTCAAGAGCCATCTTCTGCGTGGGCTTTCCTGATCCTCTCGAGAGTTAGTGCCTTTCTCCCTTGAAGGTCACCTTGTATCTGCTTCATAGGTGTTTTATATATACAATTGTATATGTACATGCTGTTTCCTAGATTAGAATCAATCAATAAAGCAACTAGTATTTATTAAGCATTTGCTGTGTACCAGGCACTGTGCTAGGCTCTGATGACACAAAGACAAAAATGATGCAATCTGCTCTCCAGAAGTTTATATGCTGTGGATTAAACATAAGAATGTAAGCTCCACGTGAAGGGTAGGTATTATTTCACTTTTATTGTTGTATGCCCAGAACATGTGCTAAATCAACACTTACCAATTGCTTTTTTTTTTCCACTTGACTTAACAAACTCAATAGGACTAGAGTGATCAAGGAAGGCTTTGTGCAGGAAATGAGATTTGAGGTGGACCTTGAAGACAGGAGAATTTGAACAGGGAGAGGAAAAGTGACATTTTAGATAAAGAGAACATAAGTGAAGACGGGACAGCAAGATGAATATCATCATTACATAGCTAACATTAAGATGATGCTTTTTTACCTGACTTGTTCCCCTCAATAACCCTAGATAGGTACTCTCATTATGCCCATTTTATAGAAAAGGAAACTGAGATGGAAAGAGGTGTGAAGTATTTCGTTCACGTTAACACGCTTAGCAAGTATCTGAGGTAGAATCTGAACCCAGGTCTTTGGGTTAACTAAAGAAGAAGGTACAAAAGTCAGGGAATAATAGAGAAGTGAGGTTGGCTAGGTCAGATGAGGCCAGGTTATGGAAACTGTTAAAAAAAATTTTTTTAAATCTTGAAACTTGGAAGAATCTGGACTTGATATTATCAGCAACAGCTTTCATTTAGGAAACAGGGAGACACTTTTTTTTGTTTCCCTTTCACTCATGTACTGTATTTGCAGTATGTTCATCTGCTCTAGTAAAGAAATACTTGTAGATTAGCAAATCAAGAAAGCCCCTTTTCTTCATATAGGAAGCTTTTCCAGTGAGAAGCCTCTCCTCCTTACCCAGGGTCACACTCTGTACTTCCTCAGTGATTGGGTTCCATCTGCAAATTTTCTGTGCATTGATATCCACAAAAACAAGGTGACCAGCCTTTTCGTCCCACACAGGACACTCTCCCATCTGGTTCTTTTCCTTCATGACAGTCTCTATCTTAACAGGAGACATTGCCTGAGAAAAAAAAAAGTGAGTAAATGTCAGTAAATACACTGACTAAAAACAGCTGGTGGGGTCTCCCTTACCTTTTGGACAGGCTAGACCTGTCTATTGGAGCCATCTGTTTACAGAACTATCTTTAAAAGAACACACTGAAAATTCTGGGGGGAGAGGGAAGAACTTATTAGACATTATGTCTCAGCATCAAACAATCAATCAGTAACCATTTATTAGGCATCTACTGTGTGCCAGGCATTGTGCTAAGCTCCAGAGATACAAAAAGAGACAAAAGATAGTCCCTGCCCTCAAAGAGCTCACAATCTAATGGGGGAGACAATATTCAAATACATACAAACAAGATATATACATTATGAGACAGAATCAGAAACCTAGAGGTGGAAGGGCCTTTAAGGACCATATAATCCAATTCCCCCCTCCCCTCCCACATATACTTTTTTTTTTTACAGATGTGGAAACTGAGGCCCCAGAAGATTAAGTGAATTGCCAAACATCACACAAGGAGTATCAGAACTGAGATCTGAACCTAGGTCTTCTGACTCCCGACTCAGTGAGCTTTTGACTGTAGCACCCTGCTCTCCAGTTGATGACTGTTTTATAAAATGTCTTAAAGTAGTTTCACTAGCTTTAAAAGTTCAGTGGGGCTTTGATATTCTTAGAAGTGTTTTTTCCATGTAAATTTCATTATCTAATTCTATATTTAAAAAAAAAAAACCTTTAGTATTGTAATTGATGCCAAGTTAGGTATGTAAATTAATTTGTGAAGAATTGTCAATCCAGCCCATCTATGAAAACTACTTTTCCAAATATTTAGGTCTACCTTTATTTCAGGCTTTATATTTTTACAAGAGGTAGCAATCCATAGAAGACAGTACAAACCTTGGATTCAGGAAGACCTGAGTGCAAAACCTTCTCAGACGTGTAGGGGCCATGTGACCCTGGGCTCTGGGCAACTCTCTAAGCCTGTAAATAGCAGTGGAGGTACCAACCTTCATTGCAGAATGTGTTTCCTGTGGTGCAGTGGATAGAGCACCAGGCCCAAAGTATGGAAGACCTGAGTTCAAATTCGGCCTCAGATACTTATTCGATGTGTGACTCTGGGCAAGTCACTTAACCCTGTTTGCCTTAGTTTCCGCCTCTGTAAAATGAGCTGGAGAAGGAAATGGCCAATCACTCCAGTATTTTGACCAAGAAAACCCTAAGATGGGGTCACAAAGAGTCTTATGTGACTGAAGAACAGCAACCACCAGCACCTCTGAAATCATAGTCTAGTCCCTATCCCTATGGCTTTAGAATTGTCTGTATGCTGGTGCTATAGATTGCTTAGTAGATTAGATCACAAATAATCGATGAGTTTTGTTGTTGTGATATAAGTGAGGTTTCACTTTTCATTCCCATCTAACTCTCCAGCCTGCTTTCTTCTCCTGTTCTGCTCTCTCTTTCCACCATGCCCCATGCCCTCTAGAACAAAATTCTCTTTCATCTTATACCCATTCCATTTTCTTGCACTTATGAAAACTCGTTTCCTCCTAGAAGATTCTGTATTCCTGGTTAGTATTGGGTGACCCTTCTCATCCCCACCCTCCCATACACTGGTTGGCCTCCTTCCCCATTTCCCCACTCCTCATTCCTTCTCCTTCAAGGAGTACATTGAAACCTTTTTTTTTTCCTGTAAGGACCCCTGCTTAAAACCAAATCACTCTGGCTGTCATTGATTGGCCAACAATAGTTCTCAGGCCAAGATCCACTTGGTCACTGTATGGGTCCAGAGTGGCTCAGAGTGAATGTATAGGCCCAGACTGGATCAGAGTGAATGTAAATAGCAATTCTTTCTGTTTTGGCCTAGGGGTAGAGTAGACACACTTTTTGCTCATCACTGCCACTTCTGGACCCTTCCTCTGCCCTCATGCACTCAGAACCCTCCCTTCTCTGCAGGAGGCATATCAACCTCTTCACTCTATTCCCTAACTGGGAGACAGCATGGTACAGAGGAAGGAACACCAGCTTTTGAGTTAAAGGACCTGAGGTCAAGTCCCATCTCTGTCACTTATTACCTGTGTGACCTTGGACAAGTCATTGAATGTCCCTGGGCTTCAAGTTCCTTATGAGAAAAATGAGAGGGTTGGATTGGATGGTGTCTGAGGTCCCTTCCAATTCTAAACCTTTGATCACATACAGATTCTTATGGCCTCCTTCCCCATTCCCCACCCCTCATTCCTTCTCCTTCAAGGAGTACATTGAAACCTTTTTTTTTCCTGTAAGGACCCCTGCTTAAAGCCAAATCACTCTGGCTGTCATTGATTGGCCAACAATAGTTCTCAGGCCAAGATCCACTTGGTCATTGTGTGGGCCCAGACTGGCTCAGAGTGAATGTAAATAGCAATTCTTTCTGTTTTGGCCAGAAACCTTAAGCATTTTCCCCTCCCAGATTGATTTTTTTTTTTTTGACTAGGTAAAGAGGCCATCCTCTGCCTTATGTCTTACCTAGCCTTAATCACTGAATATGCCTCAGTCAAACTGAGACCTGGGAAAGACCTTAGCTTTAAAAGGCCAAGGTCTCCCACTGCATCTGGGGCCATCTCCAGTCATCCTAATCTGTATCTTGCTACTGGACCCAAATGACTCCAGAGGAGAAAGTGAAGTAGGTGACTTTGCATAGCCCTGTCTCAATTAAATCCAATTTATTTGCATGTCATGGCATCACCTCCCTGATGTCATGGTCCTCTTCGAGAACAACAACAACTTTGACTTACAGTGTTCCTCTCCTTCCTAAACCCCTTCCCTCAGACGTGGTGACTATAATATTTACAATGATGTCCCTTCAAACATCCTGGCCCAACTCATTAAAATCCTCTGTTCTCATGACCTTAATTTCACTTTCCCTCAAGCCATTATATCAGAATGCTTATAATCTTTATTACCCTATCACCCAAAGTAGTCAGCATCTATGGTCGAAAATTCCCTTTTTAAAGTACACTCTCCTGTCCCTCTATCTCTCCTTGTATCTCAGTGTTCCTGAATCTGTTTTTTAAATTTTAAATTTCATTTTTCAATTTTCAAGCATTAATTTTCCCTCCCACCTTCCCCCACCTCACAAATAAAAGAAGGAGGAAGAAAGAAGGAAGAAGAGAAGGAGGGAAGGAGGGAAGGAGGGGGGACTGAGGGAGGGGAAGGAAGAAAAGAAGGAAGGGAGAGAGAGAGACAGAGAAAAGAAAACCTCTGTATTACAAAAGCATAGTTAAGCAAAACATATTCCCACATTGGTCATACTCAGAAATGAATTTCTTATTCCGCATATTAGACCATTATTTCTCTGTCATGAGGCAGGTTGCACTCTTTATGAGCCCTCTAGACTGAACCATGTTGATTAGAGTTAAGCCTTTCAAAATTGTTCATTTTCATAATATTGATGGAATAGTACAAATCGTTCTTTTAATTCTGCTTACTTCACTGCATCGGTGCAAACAAGTGTTCCCAGTTTTTCTAAAACCTTTTCTTTCTTCATTTCTTAGAGCACAATCACACTCCATTACGTGAATACACCATTATTTGTTCAGCCATTCCCCAAATGATGGGCACCTCCTTAGTTTTCATTTTTTGCCACCACAACAAGAGCTGATATAAATATTTTTGTACATAAAGGACCTTTTCCTCTTTGATCTCTTTTGGCAACAGACCTAGCAGAGGAATAGCTGGGTAAAAGAGCATGCACTCTTCAGTAATTTTTCTGTGCATCGTCCCAAATTGCTTCCCAGAACTGTTGGACCTAATCACAGCTCTACCAACAGTATGTGTCTGTTTCCCCAACCCACTCCAACATTTGTCATTTTCACCTGTCTGATGGATGTGAGGCGGAAACTCAGAATTGCTTTAATTTGCATTTTTCTAATTATTAATGATTTAGACCTTTTTTTTCCACATGGCTATAGATAGCCTGGGTTTTTCTCTTGAGAATTGCATTAGACAATTTATCAGCTGTGGAATGGCTTTTTAAAAAATATTTGTATTAGTTCCTCATATATCTTGGAAACGAAACCTCTTCTTTAAACTATTACAATGACCTTTTGATTAGTCTCCTTTCCCTAAGTCTGTCCCCACTCCAATCAATTCTATACATAACTGTTAAAGTGATTTTCCTCAAATTCAGTTTCAACTACGTCACTTGCTGTTCAGTCATTTTTCAGTCGTGTCTGACTCTTTGTGATTCCATTTGGGGTTCTCTTGTCAAAGATTTTTGTCAAAGTGGTTTGCCATTTCCTTCTCCAGCTCATTTTGCAGATGAGGAAAGTGAGGCAAACAGGGCTAAGTGACTTGCCTAGGGTCACACAGCTAGTAAGTGTCTGAGGCCAGATTTGAACTCAGGAAGATGATTCTTCTTGACTCCAGGCCCAGCGCTCTATCCACTACCCTCAGCTATGACACTTTCAATAAACTTATGTTTCCTTATTGCCTCTAGGTTGAAATATATACTCCTGCTTGACTTTTAAAACTTTTTATAACCTGGCCCCAACCTAATTTTCCAGTCTCATTATACATTACTCTCCCTTCCTACATTCTGATCTTGTTTGGTAATTAAGTGGTGCAGTAGATAGAGCGCTGGACCTGGAGTCAGGAAGACCTGAGCTCAAATTTGGCCTCAGACACTTAATAACTGAGCTTCCTTGGGAAAGTCATCAAACCTCTCTTTGCCTCAATTCCCTCAACTATAAAATGAGGATAATAATTGCACATATCTTGCAGGGTTTTTGTGAGGATCAAATAAGATATTTGCAGGGCCTGCACGTAGTAGGCACTATATACACGCTTATTCCTTTCCCTTCACCATAATACAAAGTTTTAGTAATGTTTTTGTTCATGTTTCAAAAATAAGGTATTTTAAGGTTATGCTTAAATTCATTTGCATTATACTTTGCCAAGAGAGATAAATCTGTACTACAAGTGGTTCAATCATTCAAAAGCATCAATTTAAGATTAAACAAATAAAATTGATACAATAGTGAAGAGTTCTTGCCTCTAAAATGTGGCTTCCACATTCTTTGGGAGACACAGTTTTACATTCAAGAAATGGCATATGACCTTAGACAAGTCACATAATATCTCTGAACCTCAGTTTCCTTATCTGTAAAATGAAAAGGTTGGACTGGACGATCAGTAAGTTCTTTGTCATGTCTAACATTCTAACAATTTTATGATTCTCAGTTGGGCCTAAAGATATTTGATATCAATAATATATATTTGATGGATAGCTTTTGTTTTTATATCACCATCATTTCCAAATATATTCCCTCATCCAAATAGCCATCCCTTGTAACAAAGGATAAAAAAGAAAGAGAAAAAAGGTAAATGCAGCAAAATTAGCTGCAAAATTATATATCCACGGAATCTGGCAGGCTATGCAACATTACATATCCACAGTCCTCCACTTCTGCTAAGAAAGGAGGCAGATGTATTTTCTCATCTCTTTGAGGCCAAGATTTATCACCATAATTAATGTTCAGTTTTATTCTTAAAGATATTCTTAATTGTGTGCTTTCCAAAGAGTTAATTAATCTTCTTTCTGTGTTCTTTTTCTAGTGGACTCCTAAGTAACCCAATTTAACAAGTTAAACTACAAAGCTGTTGCTATGATAGCATATAAGATGCTTCCAATGTTTGTGTAAAAATGGAAAAAGAAAAAAAAATACCACCTCCCTGTAGAATGGTATTTTTTTAACTGCATTTCTCAAAAAACAATTCCCTAGCTTCATGAGATTTTTATTTGAAGCATAATGCTCTTACAAGGAATATTTAATAAATATTTGTTGAATTGAATCCCCATTTTCAAAACTGACTCTCTCAGACAGAAAATAACTTGGCCATAATCAAACAGCTAAGGACCTCAGCACCCAGACTTGAACACATCTGCTTATCGTGAGTCTGGCATTTTTTCCACAATGCCCTATGCCTCTTAGAATCAAAATAACAAAACAATCAAGGCTTGAGGCCATTCCAATGCTCTTCTGGTATTAAAGGCAGGCTGTGTGGTGATAATGAACAAGGACCTATATAAAGTAAGGTCAACTAAAGAGTAGATGTCAAAGCCTTTTAAAAAAAAACCAACACAACAGTTTCTAGCAGGTTAATACCAAACAGCACATGATAAAGCCACTCAAAGAAAGAAGTGTTGATGAGTTAGCTAAGCTGCCCACAGAGTGTACCTAAAGAAGCAGACGTCTTGGGAGCTGGGAGGGTGGCCCCTGCTGTACGCATAAAACTATCCAGAAAAAAAAAAGAGAGAAAAGATAGTGCCTTCTGTTCTTGTTAAGCTGGTGGCTCAGCTATTGCTATGAACTTGGCAATAAAGGAATAAATCACTGGAAAGGAAACTGTGCCCAGGTTATTTATGTAGCACAGCCTGAAGGAATGAAAGCCCTCATTCAGCATTCTCTTCCTTATAGATGTGGCTTGGCATATGGGTAAACAGACCTGACTGTTACCAAGAGAAGCCCAGGTCTTTACTATACAAAGATAAACAAGGGTATTGGAAAAGAAAATTAAGAATGAGACATGTTGTTGTGAAAGAAAAGTAATGGGATCAGCTCTAATACTCCAGGTAATCAAATGTACTGTACTTTTGCAAAACCTGTGTGCATGCTCTCTCAGATGGTGGACTTCATAAGCCTGCCAACAGAGAGAACATTGGGGGATTCCACTCAAGAGCTATGTCAGTAGGACACAAGCTCTCCTAGGTTCCATTCATCTGGAAATGCCCAGTAAAGGACTGTCATTTGAAGGGTTGTGAGCTCCAACATAGGGCAGCTAGGTGGTGCAGTGGATAAAGCACTGGGCTTGGAATTAGAAAGATTCATCTTCATGAGTTCAAACATGGCCTCAGATACTTACTAACTGGGCAAATCACCTAACCCTGTTTGCCTCAGTTTTCTCATCTGCAAAATGAGCTGGAGAAGGAAATGGCAAACCACTCCAGTATCTCTGCCAAGAAAACCCTAAATGAGGTCATGAAGAGTTGGATACAACTGAAATAACACAACAACAACAATATCCAACATGAAGACTTTCTTGATCCCTCCCAACTGCCTAGAAGTTTCTTAGTATTTATGTTGTATAAACTATGCATATATTTGTGAGTATACTCTATGTGGTATTTCCTTCAATAGAACAGAAACCCCTGAGGGCAAGGACTGGGTTGTTTTTTTTTTTGGAGGGTCTTTGAATCTCCATTGTTTAACACATGGTAGTGAAAGAAATGATTATTTCTCTATATCAATAACCAGTTACCATAGGGAGATCCAGGATTTTTTTCCCCTTTCTATTTCCTCATTTTCTTCTAGGTCAAATCAGCCCCTGAAAAATAGGCTGATAATGAGATTGGATTTTAACATTCTTCTCAATCTTGTTCAGACCCCACCTAACTGGAGAGGATTAGTTCTAATTAGAGTAAAAAGAATTTAATTTAATTTTAATTTAATTTAATCTAGGTGAATTCTGGTCCATTATTTTCTACTCAGGCTTTGAGGGGGTGGTGTAGATCCTTTTGTCTAGATTGCCCAAGACTTGGGGGTCTGGGAGTAAAAGTGACATAATCAAAGTCGAGTCCCCCAGCCCCTCATTAGAATAGGCCCACCTCTCATTATCATATTCATTCTCTCATTAAATGTTAAGCAATGAGAGTTGATTGCCACCTGTTGGGAACACCCACTTTTCCATGTAAGCATTTAGAGGCCACTACGATCCATCTTTCATTTGAGAGATGGCAAATGACCATACTTCTATTAATTATTTGCTAGCCATAATTAATAAAATGATTGATTACCCAGAAATTATGTCTCTTGAACTTTTTATATGTCACAGTTGGTACCTAATAAATCCTTGTTGATTGATTGACTGAAGACTGGCTGATCAAGTTCAGAGAAGCTGAGAGGTTAGCCACTATGTAATGACTTTTTTTGGCCACAGAAACTTATGAAATGACTAAGGTAGAGAGGGGCAGTGATCTGTCTGTCTGATGAAACTGCAGATCTTTCCATGATATAAAATATGCGTTGCGTATTCTAGGAACTCCCACACTGTTTATCATGGATTCAAGATGGATTTTTCTTATTCTGGATTCTACCTCCATATTTTACATATATGTTGATTACATATTGTTGATTACATATATGATGATTCACCTAGGCAGCTAGGTGGCACAGTGTTTTGTTCTGTTTTTTTTTTTTTTCCTGGCTGGATCAGGAATCAGGAAGACCTGAGTTCAAATCTAGCCTCAGACACACACTAGTTGTGTGACCTTGGGAAAGTCAGTTTCATCACTGCCTGCCTCAGTTTCCTCATTTGTAAAATGGGGATAACAATCATACCTACCTCTCAGAGTAAGGAGAAAAAGAAATATTTGCAAACCTTAAAGTGCTGTATAAATGCTAACGATTGTTATTATTTACCTGGGAAGGGATATGGTAAAGCCTTCTACTTCCAGCCCTCCTTCCTATGACATTCATCACTGGTGCTTCCCTGATGCAACCAAGTCTAAGGGATTCATCTGGAACCATGAAGGCCTTCTTCCCTTTCTTCCTGCACCATTCACCAATGCCCTGCTCTTGTGGCTACCAAACCTGCCAAATCACCTGGAATATGGTCATTAAGCATCATACCTGCATTATAGTTCTCTATCTATTTGCAACTTAATCCCCCTCATACTACAGTCTCTTCCCCTCACCCCCCACGATTAAAAATACCTATCTCATAGGCTGGTAGATCCAGTGCTAGAAGAAAACTTAGAAGCCATCAGGTACAACTCTCTCATTCCACAGACTAGAAAACTGAAGCCCAAATGATTTGCCCAGGGTCACACTGGCAGTAAATGGAAGAGCTGAAATTCAAACCGAGGTACTCTAACTCCAAATCTCATTCTCTTTCCACCTTTTGTTGTTAGGGTTATGTCTTGATTAGCCAGTGAATTGGATTTAAGTGAGGCAGAGCTCCAAAGTCTTTAGCTTCACTCTTTCCTCCAGAGTCATTGAAATCCAGTGGCAACACAAAGTCAAGACAACTGGTGATGGCCCAGGATGCAATGGCTGTCCTTGGCCTTTCTAAATTAAAGTCTTTCCCAGGCTTCAGTTTGTCTGAGGCAACACCCATTCAATGACTAAGGGCTAGGTAAGAATTAAAACAAAAGATGGCTGAATTTACCAACACAAAATATTATTCTGGGAAGGGAAGACTTTCTATTCTGGCCAGAACAGAAAACAATTGTTATTTAGACTTATTCTATGCCATTAAAACCTAAACAACAAGTCATAGAGGCTTGGGATCGGGGCTATTATTGGCCACCTAACCAGTGCCTCTAATCCTTATGATTTAACATTCCTGCCTGTCCAGGCAAAAATTCCTCTCCTCTGTGATTTATACTTATCTTCATCCTTGTCCAGCTTAACTCTACCCCTCCTCTTACCTCTTCCATGGTGGCCTCTCAGGTCCTCATTCAATCATTAGCAAACTTCCTTTCATCCTCCATCTCTTCCTCTTACACTCATTCCATCTCTTGGCACTAAACAAAACCTGATCTTCTGTTGGAGACACCAAGTTCCTTGCCATCCACTCCACTGATCGAGCAAGGAGAAGTTGTCATACTCCTTCCTCTTCACTGATTTTCTCAGACCCTTGCTCTGCTATCATCACCCCACAATCTGTTGCAGTCTTTGTCATTTCTTGAATTCCAGAACACGTTCCTATTTTCTCCAATCATTTTAGCAACAGAAGCACAGTTTTCTTTTCTACCCTAACCCTTGCTACCATCCTCTGTGGTTTCAATACTCATCATGATGACGATCCTAACACTCAAGGGTAAGGAGGTCTCTGTATCACTTCGCCAGATAAATACTAAGATCTCCATAAATGCTTGTTGACTGAATAAGAGCCTCCTCTTCTAAGGTTACCTTCCTTCTCCTTTGGATATATCATGTCTATTATCTATTTATTCACATGATGTCTCTGTCATTAGTATGTAAGTTCCTTGAAACTAGGATCTTTTGCCCATTGTCACCACTATTATTCGATACTGTACTAGAAATGTTAGCTACAGCAATAAGAGAAGAAAAAGAAATTGAAGGAATTAGGATAGACAATGTGGAAACAAAACTATCATTTTTTGCAGATGAAAGATGATATACTTAGAGAATCGTAGAGAACCAACTAAAAAACTAGTTGAAATAATTAACAACTTTAGCAAAGTTGAGGGATATAAAATAAATCCACAGAAATCATCAGCATTTCAATATATTATCCAGAAAAGTCCAGCAGCAAGAGATAGAAAAATTTCTTTTAAAATAACTGCAAGCAATATAAAATACTTGGGAGTCTACTTGCCAAGACAAACCCAGGAACTATATGAACTCAATTACAAAACTTTTCACAAAAATAAGGTCAGATCTAAACAACTGGAAAAATATTAATTGCTCATGGGTAGGCTGAGCCAATATAATAGAGATGACAACTCTACCTAAATTAATCTACTTATTCAATGCCATACCACACCAATCAAACTACTGAAAAATTATTTTATAGAACTAGAAAAAAACCATAACAAAATTCATCTGGAAGAACAAAAAGGTCAAGAATATCAAAAGAATTAATGAAAACAAATGTGAAGGAAGGTGGCTTAGCCATACCAGATCTCAAACTGTATTATTAAGCAGTAATCATCAAAACTATCTGCTACTGGCTGAGAAATAGAGTGGTGGATCAGTGTAAGAGATGAGGTGCAGCTCAGATTCTTAAAATCTAGCCACATGCTCAGGTTCTTAAAATCTAGCCAATAACTCACTAATGTTCACACTCCTTAAGAGTCTGCCCAATATGATGGATGTTCTAATAAATCTTGTCTTTCACTGAAAGAAGGTTTGGGTAGAATTCTTTGGGGCAGGACCTGTGTGTTGTGATTTTGGGGTCCCAGCACCCTAAATCCCTAAACCTCAACATTTTAGTGGCCCATGCGGGGAAACTGCCTAACCCAAGTTCTTCTCCAGCCAAGACTGGAAGGTATGTAAGCCTCCCTCCACCCTCACTCCTTTCTTGCTTTGCAGTTGGGGTCACTCTCCAAGCACCAAGGCTTGGAGGTGCTTTTCAGGCAGATAGTTACTAGGCTGCCTCAAACTCAGCCTGACGCTCTCAGGCTCTGGGTCCACTGGTTGGTTTCAGGCCATAGACCTGGGTATACCTTCCACAGCATAGAGGACAAGGACGGATGCCCTATCTGGAAGCGTATGCCCAATTCTGTCAATTCTCTAGATGCTAGGGAATTGGGGAAAACTGCAATTGCTTTTTGATTCCCTGAGGCTTACTTACTCTTTTCCCTCTACACCCCTGAATCCTCCTTCATGGAGGTTACAGAGAAAAGTTAGAATAGCTAAAAATATCTTGGCAGATTCTGGAGGTTTTGTGATTGATCATTAAGGAGCTCTGAAACTCCTTACAATCCTGGTCACTCCGTTCTCCCACTCCCTTCCCTTGAGTCATTAAACCCTCTCATAGGAGAAGAGAGTTTCACCCTTTCCCCCTCACCTTTGATTTCACCCTCCCACCCTTGGGGAAAGGAAGGAGGAGAGAGGGGCAGCAGCTACAGCGTGGGTCCCCCTAGCAATGGCCTTGGGCTCTAGGGCAACCTTTGCCTGGAAGCATCACCCAGGTTCAGCACATCCTGCTCAAGGTAAAGAAGCTGGCCTCTGAACTTGGGTAAGCATGCTCTTTTAAAGTTATAGTTTTAACTGTTAATGATGAGATGTTGATTCTCTGTGAATAGTAGTTTAGAAATGAATTGAACAAAATTGAAGTCACCTGATTGATAATGGGTTTGTTTCAAGTTTCAAATTAGTGAACTTTTTGTATCAGTCATGTCAAGCAACTTTTCATAATTTGGATAACACTAAAATAATTTGGCTATTATTGGTTATTGTTTTAATGTGTAAACTAGCCAAAAAGCTTGTTTGGGTTATGGCTTATTTGCAAGTGTATAGAAATCTCTAATAATTGGCTTTTTACACCAGGACAAATTTAAGTTTGAGATGTAAATCCTGGAAAAGTTTTTCCTAAGCTGTGGTTAGTGAAACTTGCTGTTTGAGGTAAAAGCTCATACGATTTTATTTTGAGTTGTCTGATGGATCATAATCCATTGATAATCAATAATACACTATCTGAGAGAAATGCCACAAGCTACTCAGAGAATGTGATACTGGTGGGAAGTCAGCATTGGGAAAAGCTTGAAAGGACAATTTTAACCTCAGTCTAAGATAGGATCCTCCTGGCTCAGTTTCCCCATTATATTCCTTTGAAAGGGAATGTTACCCACCTGGCTATTCCTGAGTCTCGCTATGAGATGGATTTGATACTGCATGGTTGGAAAACTGAATTATCTGAATCCAAACAGAGCTAAGGATGTTTTATCCTCTCATATTTGGGCCCTAAATCTAGTCCCTGCTTTATATCTGGACCCTGCAGTCTTTTCTGTCAGATTATGTCTTCCAGACTACAGGCCATTCACTTACAGTTGATAGCAAACAGCAGGTACCAGCCAATGTCCCTCTCATTGTTCATGGATGCAGCCTGAGCTCAGTTCCAGTCAACCTCCTCTTTGGGACCCCCTAGAGGCAGGGACAGCTCTGCGTCCCTTGACAGCAGGAAGCAGTTTCAGAAACCAAGACCTTCACCCCTTACCCCAAAATAATTTGAGTCCCATTTGTTTGAGGGGGGATAAATGATGCAGTTTAGGGGTTCAGGGGTGCTGGGATCCCAAAATCACAAAACGCAGGTCTTGCCAGAAAGAATTCAACCCAAGCCTTCTTTCAGCCAAAGACAAGGTTTATTAGAACATCCATCATATTGGGCAGATTCTTAAGGAGTCTGAACATGGGTAAGCAGTGGCTAGATTATAAAAAGCTGACCAGTGGCTAGATTATAAGAATCTAAGCATCTTAATAGAGACAGGATGGACCTTACATACAGAAAGACTGTGATAGAGAGCTAGGAGTGGCCAAGTAGTTTGGGGTGATGGGAGGAAGAACCTAAGGAGATCTGGATGGGAGTGGCTAGTAAGCTGGGGTGAACAGAACTCCTGCGACCTGGATCGCATGGCCAAGGGAGAATGGAGCCAAGCTAGGATTAAGGGTGGGAAATGGCAGGGGCTATAGGAAGGTAAGACAATGAAGGGGAGATTGGGTGTAGCCATAATGCCAGGAGGTAATAGAATTATCAAGGGTGGGAAATGGAGCCTAGGTGAACCAAGGGTGGGAAATGGCCAGGGGCCATAGGGAGGCAAGACAATGGAGGGGAGATTGGGTGTGCCAGTTGATGGGACTATAGCTTCCAGAGATTTGGCCATGTGGCAAAGTCCAGGGTTTTTCCTTTCTGGGGCCCAGATTCCAACCCCATCATGATGAGGATGGGATCTAAACCCCAAAAAAGGAAAAACCCTGGACTTTCCCACATGGCCAAATCTCTGGAGTTCGCCTGAGGCTATAATTCCATAAATTGGCCTTTCATTGTGGCTACACCCAGTCTCCCAATTCTGTTACCCTTAACCTGGCCTAGCCCTCCATTGTCTTACCTCCCTATGGCCCCAGGCCACTTCCCACCCTTAATCCTATCTAGGCTCCATTCTCGCTTGGCCAAGTGGTCCAGGTCCCTGGAATTCTATTACCTCATAGACTACTTGGTCACTCATAGATCCCTCCCATAGTCTTTTTGTATATAAGGTCCATTTTGCTCCATTAAAATGCTCAGATTCTTATAATCTGGTCAATAGCTCACTAATGGCTAGACTCCTTAAGAGTCTGATGGATGTTCTAATAAACCTTGCCTTTGGCTGAAAAAAAAAAAAGAGAGAGATGAGGTGCACAAGGCTCAGTAGTAAATGACCATACTGATCTAGTATTTGATAAGCCCAAAGACTCCAGTTTTTGGGACAAGAACTCACTATCTGACAAAAACTGCTGGGAAAACTGGAAAAGAATATGGCAGAAACTAGGTATACACAGACCAACAACTTACACCATACACCAAGATAAGGTCAAAATGGTGAGTGATTTAAACATAAAGGGTGGTACCTGAAGCAAATGGAGAGAGCAAGGAATAATTTACCTGTCAGATCTATGGAGAAGGGAAGAATTTATGACCAAATAGGAGACTGAGCATTACTAAATATAAAATGGACAATTTTGATTATATTAAATTTAAAACTTTTTGCTCAAACAAAACCAAATGCAACCAAGATTAGAAGGAAAGCAGAAAGCTGGGAAACAATTTTTACTGTCAGGGTCTCTGATAAAGACCTCATTTCTCAGATATATGGAGAACTGTTTCAAATTTGTAAGAATACAAGTCATTCCCCAATTGATATATTTGGCAAAGTTGAAGGATATAAAATAAACCCACATAAATCATTAGCATTTCATTCATTCATAAGTAGTCAAAGGATATAAACAGGCAGTTTTCAGATGAAGAAATCAAAGCTATCTATAGTCATATTGAACTGGACGCCCGAGAGAAATCAGAGCATCACACCCAATTGACTTTAATTGAGAGCGCGTTTATTTGAGCCGGCCGGCGACGGACCCCAGGCGTGCATCCCAGGGGCC